AACCTTAAAAGTACGGGAAGTCGGGAACGTGACTGCGATAGGGCGACCGCGTGATAATCACATTTTGGACAGTTCGTCTGTTTGACTATTCAAACCAATTCAAGCGTGCCGAAACGTGCGTGCTAAGAACGAGTCACTTTGTTTCCCGAGAGCGCGGGGGAGGAGCATGCGAGTATTTACGGGTATTTCTGAGCTGAAACTGCAATTTTCGATTCAAAAATGCTCGCGGACACTCGTACACTCGTGTCGCAGATTTTCTTTGAGTTATCAGAATTTTGGAAACCTATCTCCCGTTGTTGCAGAGACACGCGGACCATACAGTAATCTTAACGACACGTCATAGCGTCCGTCTCTACGTGGTGGGAATTTACACGCCGTATGTTTTTCAGTGATACCGATGGCACATGTGATATTGATAGGTTATACATGCTTTTCAATAGATCTATCTTTTATCCTCTAGAAATTTTTTTCTCCTTTAAATCAAATATCAAACATATATCTATTTTAAGTTTCAAAAGTATATATACATGGAAAACGGTGTTCAGTTTATAGAAAACAGACCTATCGTTCGCAGGAAAGACTCATGTTGTAAGAAAGAATTAATCGCGCGCTCTACTCTTGATGCAGCAAGTGCTCCTTTTTTAGAAACACAGATTCATACATAAATTTAATATAATTTAAAAAAAAAAAGATTTATTTCTTCTTTTTTTCATTCTCTGTTGTCTCGTTACGTTTTAAAAAGTAATAAATATTCATTGAGTAAATAATGCGCATAATTTCTCCGATCTAGAGTTTATTTTAAAAGTTTTTTGTATTATTTTTTTCCCAAAGTTTCTAAGTGCTTTGATAACTGAAGATACAAAGAGAAGATCATAGATATAATTGCAATAGGAATTCTCTTGAATAAACAAATTTTATCTTTTAACAGTCGCATGTTATAACAGGTAAAATTATTATCTACAGAAATAATATGTTCGATTGTGTATGCATGGAAGATCGTGTTGTCGACATTTGAAGATGGATTGTGACGAAAAGAATTCGATAAATGTTAACTGGCAATGCGACCTGCATATACCTTAAATTCTGTGTTTTGTGTCGTGTTTTTATCATGCAAGATACTGGCAACTAATGCCTTGTGAATCTAGTGCCTCCTTGGAAAGCTGTTTTGAGCACATTTCTACAGCAAGTGAGCAAACGCGTCTAGTTTAAGCCACGACAAATCATGACTGAGATTAGTATAGATAGTCTACGAAATCTCATTACACACTTCGCAAAGAACACCTATAGAACCAAGGATGGAGATGTTACGGTAGTTGTTTCATAAATATATTTTATAATTAAACATGCAAACATTAAACTCTTTGTAAAATTAACTAACTATATATCTTTTTACAGAATCAAGAAATCATGCAGAGGTGCATGTTGCTTGCGGCCTTTGATTATGAATATTTTACAATTAATAACAGTGGAGGTGATCTTTGCGCTCATTACCCAAGCTATCTTATAATATTAGAACATGACAAATTCCGAAATTTGAAAAACTGCGATACATCATTGGCATCGCCATATGAATTGGAAAATATGCTCATCAAGAGGAATAAGCTCATTAAACTGATGATACGTTCAAGATTTGCCAGATGTCGTTCAAGATTTCCAGTGCCAGTGATACTTTACAAGGGTAGACATGTATGCAGATCCTCAACATTGTCCAGTGGACCAGAAGTGTTCGGTAGAGCTGGATTAGATTTCTTGCTATCTAGTGTAGGCAGCACTAGTTCAGTGCAACCAGTTACACAGGTAGAAGAAAATTTACCCAAGGAGGAATCGAAGCTGACTGACTTGAAAGATAAAGTTAGATATTACGATATTGAACTTCTGAAGACTCTTAATGTAGGAACCATTGTAGACTTCATGGTAGAGAAGAAGAAAGTTAAATATGGGATGACGTAAGGATGATACAGTCTCTCTCTTGTATTTGTACATGTCATGAAGTAAATATTTGGAGAGAGCTAGACTTAGATTATCTAATTGTTAAACTTTGTTTAGTAATTGCAAGAACTAGTATAATTGTTAAAAGAAATATATAAAGTTGCTTTTGTATGAGAAAAATAGAAGAAAAACAAGATGGCTCTATAGTAAAACTATTTATTTCGTTGCATAATTAAATGAGTAAAGATTATAGTTTGTAACAATAATGTTTAGGATGAAGCATGTATAGTTTCTGCAGAAGAAAACTGCATACATAGACAATAGCTTTCCAATAAGATGTTCATCTTCACAAACACAGAGTAAAGTTCCATAATAATAGTTCTTAGTATGAGCAGTCTGTTTTATTCTATGAATCCACTTTTAGAGGCCCTTAAACAGAGCTCTTTTGTTCGGTACTCAGCGTAACTTCGTCGGAGAAGGTAGACCAAGGAAGGAGGTACAGCGACTTTAATCTCATTTCACTGCCATATCCTGGATGTGAATTCTTCAAGGAATTTAGAGACCAAGATTATCGATCGAAGGATCTGGTGTTTAACTGGTGCCAGAATTACATAGATGCGCCAATATGTGTACCTGAAGACCCAATCTCCAGTCAATTACGAGTCAACTGGAATCAGTATACAGAATGGAATCTAGTCAAATTAACGCAGAACTATTTAAAATTAATACTGAGATATCTGAGCGATAGTAATAACGGATTATTGATTCATTGTATCTCAGGTATGGACATATTGCTATATAAAAATTTCCAAAAAATAACTATTTTTTTAAATAACTATTTAAGAGATTAATGTTATTTCTAGGTTGGGACCGCACACCGCTATTTATTTCATTATTGAGAATTAGTCTCTGGGCCGATGGTGTCATTCATACAACATTGGATTCGTATCAACTACTGTATTATACCATCGCTTATGATTGGATGCTCTTTGGACATGATTTAGCAGACAGGCTCAATAAAGGAGAAGAAATACTTTTCTTCTGTTTTGATTTCTTAAAATATATCGAAAACGAACAATTCAGCATACACAAACATTATGATAGAACATCAAAACATAGTGAATCAGAAACTTTTGTGATTGATAACGAGTCTTTCGAAATCATAACAAACTCAAGTTTTAGTCCAAAGAACAGTTCATCTAGTTCTATTGAACAAAATAGCGTAGATGGTGATTCATCGGCAGCTGTGTTCTTTACTGATTCTATTGATAATCAAGATGACTCACGCAACAATGTGTATGATTATTTTAATTATTTATTTTTAAGTATTATAACAATTTTGTACTAACATTATCTGCTAAATATTACGATCAGAGGTCTAACATATTTTTGTATATATTATAGAAATGCTGCTCATGGAACATTTACTACATCTCCAAACAAAGATAGTAGTGCCGTACAAGAATCGCGCTCATCATTGTCCGCAAATCGTACATCTCCAATTGGTGTTCCAATACCACGCAATCCCCATGTTCGACAACGAAACGATTCGACATCTTCAGGCGATTCATGGCAATTGGTAACAGGGACCGGTAGCCTATGTGGTTCCACAACTGCTAATGCTCCGCACTTAGACAACGTATTAGCACCTGATTCAGATTGCAAGCCATCATGTACTACGTGCCGTAGAACTCGACGTACATCGCAAGAACGCAACATAAATGATGATGAAAATTGTGTAACGCATACACAGTGAGTATAATTTCTCGGTTCAATGGTACATATTTTATTCCTTATAAAATCTATATACATTAACAATTTGATTCCAGACGTAGAGAACGATTACTTTGTCTTCGAAATATATTTTATAAAGCTTATGGACCTCATGGATTTCGATTGAAGGACGAATCAGGTGGCATCAGCCAATATATCGGAAACATTGTTGGGATGACTTCCATTCAGCGCACATCCTAGTGGCAAATGTTATTGCGTGACTTTCCAAGAGCATGAATTTACAGTCGATTTTTTCTATTCTAAGATCACCTGATCATTCTTCTGTTGTTGATTCATTTCTTCTATTCTTTAATCTTCATTTATTATTCATTAGTTCTCATTTTCTCTAAACGCATTTCTTCCTTAGTCCTCGTTTATTATTTGTCAATCCTTATTTTCTTTAATCACTTTCTTAATTTCTTATATTTTTTTAGTCCTTGTTTGTTATTAGTTAGTCCCCATTTTCTCTAATTGCATGTATAAGAAAAAAAAAATCATATATCTTGTTTCTTTAATTTGTCTTTTCACTCTAACTGTAATATGATCAAATGTCAGTAACAGAAGAGCAAGAAAATCATAACTTAAAAAATGTTCTCTTAAACGCTTTTGGCGTATAAGAGAAAATATAAAATAAAGACTCTTAGAATAGTAGAAATCGATTATATTGTTAATGGGTATGATCAATGCGATGCTACAGATGCTTCAACTTTTTTTTTAATGAATTTAGAAAATTCTTTTTTCTAATTGATCAATCAAACGCTTCGAAGCATTTGTAGCAAGCTTGGCACTGATCGCAGCCAATAATACTTTTGTCCAATTAACAATTTTATAAAATGAGTTTATAAATAAAAAATGGGGAGAAATTGTACATAACTGTTTTTCTCAAAATTGGACTGTTATACAAGATGTAGTATGATTAAATATGATAATCAGAAATAATTGAATAAAACTTGATATTTTTGTATATATCTATAAAAGCAGATATATTATTTTATCACTTTTATCTTCCCATGTAATTCCTATATATAAATACTAATTCTTATTAATCGATTGTCAATATCTTATAAACTTGCAGATAAAAATAACTTAAATCTTTCGATAAAAAGTTTTGGGAATTCCCACATTTTGAAATGTAATTTTTCAAAAAGAACGGATAAACTTAAATTCGTTTTATTTTAAAGATGATAAATATTCGTTTTAAAAATATATTAATTTCTTGTAAATGTAATAATATATAAATATAATATAAGACCTTTATATTATGTATAATATGTATTCGAGGAATATATAAAATCTAATATCACAGAAAATTATAAATTCATCAAGTGGACAATTCTCGACGGTGGTACGTATTCTCTACAGTATGGACATTGTGGTTTAACACGTAACCATTCGCTAAGACAGCTCCAGCAGAATAGATGACCACATAGTGTCGCAGTTGTTGCTGCTGCTTCTAGACACAATTGACAATTGTGATTAATGCCCTTAGCATTAGACATATTTACATCAGTACTATTTTGTGCTGTATCACTCTGCCAAATTCTCAATAGACATTGAATTATAGTAGCAACTCCTAATAATCTTAATCCCCAGCTAACAGTATCCTTTGGTCGAGGTCCATATACCTTCAAATTATTACGTAAATATAATAAAATTAAATATAATATTGTGAATTTTTAGAGCTTGAAATTTACCTTTGTATAATCTAATCCAGCAATTCTCCTACCCAGGCTGTAGTATCTACCGTAAAAGTAAAATATCCCTTTGTGGAACAATATAATTATAGGTATCAATGTGCGTAACTTGGATAGTAAAGTATTTAAAAATGTTATTGCTGCTGGAGTCAACTCGCTACGTGGATGATTCACGTATGTTTGTAACTGTTGTAGCAATTTGAGCAATGTCCTCTCACCACAACATTCTAAAATCGCAGCTAATATTCTCACCTAAGGAAAAACAGAATTTAATGAAATTATCAGAGGGATTTGCCTTTAAATAAATCTCTCAAACTAAACGTACAGTTAACGTTGGTACTCTGCGTTGCTCTAAATTAGCCTGTACTATGCCGGTATATTCCTCGCCCAACGTTTGATTGCTCATACCCGATGTGAAAATAAAGTATAATAACTTGAATGGAATGTCAGACCGAATGTATTGAAGCAATGTCCTGTGCATTCCGAAATTCTGTGATATATCGGACAGCTTCTCCCGCAAGAATTTAATAAAATCATCATCCCGTTGATGCGATCGTAATATTTCCGCCTGACTCGCACATTTTAGTTTGCGGTGAGGCCAATTTCTGTCAGTCTTCATTTTTCGGTATTACACGTTTATCGTGATCAAGTATGAGTCGCGTGATGTCAAAAGAGGAACTTATGCGTGATCATGCGTGACACTAAAAAAAACATTAGATTGCATATTGTGTTCAAGTCAGTTCAAGCAATAGCGATAGGAATAAAGGAATCCAACATACGGGAATGCATTCCTCTGTTCCTATCGTTATCGCTATCTTTATTTCTACCGCTATCGCTGTTACCTTCGCATTGTGTTTATGCCTAATCAGACTGAACGCAGCAATCGTCAAGCAGCAGAGCAGCAACCAATCAGCGAGACGATATTTACAATGGCGTAAAGATCGCCTTGCTAATTGGTTGCTGCATCTAGTCTGAACTAGGCATTAGAGCTTTAGCTCCGATTTCACGGAGATACGGGGTGCTTTCCAATTGCAATGTCCCTAGACACTTTCGTGCACACGGCGACACAAGTTGTGTTTCAATTGTCCGTTATCGTTGACACAACGCTACACATTTGGGGGTCGATTCTGTATCTTCGAAGAAGGTGAAAATTACAAAAGTGAAAATTACAAAAGTGAGCAAACTCACTAGATGTTAATGAAGTTATAAATATTCTAAATTTCATCACTTTCGTAATTTTCACCTCGTTTCAAGAACCGTAATAAGCCTCCTGGATGTGGAAACGCTTGCCGCGCGGCAAAATGAGACGCGGCAACCAATGAACACATCAGGAGCTGTAAGCTTATTGGCTACACATGACGCATCACATTTTGCCGCGCGGCAAGCGTTTCCGCGTCCAGTGTGCAGAAGCCATTATATGCAATCGCATCCTCTACACATCTAGTGATTTTTTTCCTAGAATCTGTCGGTAAGGGAGAATAGCGGGCGATTCGCCCGGTCGGCTGCGCCGAGCGCTGATGGCAATGGCGGCGACGCGTGTTCACGGATAGAGGGCAGCGGTGGCGGTGCGGCGGCAAACGGCGGAGAGGCATCGCCCTAGATAACGGTAGAATCGCGCAGTGCTGTCGCGTTGTCTTCTCGCGTGAGTGTGAAAATCTAGGAGGCGGGGAGGCGTACAGGAAGGGCAGGCGGCGGCAGGAGAGAAAGAGAGGAAGAGAGTAAAAGAGAGAGAGAGAGAGAGAGAGAGAGAGGCGCGTCCGTGCGCGGGTTCGTGTGATCAGCGTCGTCGTCGCCTTCTTCGAGGCTCTCGTTGCCCTCGTGAATCGCGGAACGGAGCCGTGTGTGCCTCTGCGAATCGATCGGTACGCACAGTGCCGATATATCAGGCGTGCCGCGTGTGCGAGAATCTCTCGAGGAGACGCACTCGAGAGAACCGAAGAGAGAAACCCGGTACACAAGCCGCATTCGTCATAACGTGCGACGCGAATTCCGACCTTTCGTCAGCCAATGCGGAATCAGTCAGGCTAGTCGGTTGAGCCAGCGGCAAGAACCGTTTCGACAGTGAGAGCAGATAACGCACATCGCTTTCGTCCTCGTCACCCCTCGGTTCTCCCCGATGGACTCGTGACAGTGTGCGGAGACGGAGAAGCCGAGCCGAATACAACAAAAAAAAAAAAGAAAAGGAAAGGAAAAAAGAAAAATAGAAGAACGCGCGGGTGGGCCAGGTAGGCTGTAATAATCGCCGAGGTCTCGTCAGTCGTGGCGACGAGGAAGAGACGGACGAGTGGCGCGCGTGAGACGGGGACAACGAGAGGGACGCGGGAGGAGGAAAGCGAGAATATACAAGGCTTGCCTCTGCGCTGCGTGTGTACGTGTATGCGCGCTTGAGAGCCGCCGAGCCGACTTGCGCGAGCGACAGAGACGGACAGTAGGAAAAAGAGAGAGAAAGAGAGCGGGAACGAGAGAGCGGCGGAGAGAATTATCGAGTGAGCCGCCCGGGAGATACTGCGTTCTGCGAGGAGCGAAGAACGTGGGGCATTCAGGAGGCACGAGAGGTAAGGACTCGGCACACAAGACGGAGCGCGACTCCTCTAAAAAAAGAATCCTCCCTCTCCTTCCCGTCCCTCCCTCTCCTCCTCCCTCTATTCGAGAAGGCGCCGTGCATCGTGCCGTGCCGTGCCGTGGCGTGGCATGCCGAACCGAGACCGGAAATCGTTCACGGCGTCGTCGGCGACCGCCCGCGCCTTCGCATCTACGCGCCGGGAATCGAAGGCGCACCACGCACGTTCGTGTTTCAGGGGAACGATCGGTAAATGGGTGCTTCTCACCGCTTTCCGTTTGGCGACACGAGTTGCCGTTCTACTCCCCTACGTTTCACTCCCCGAATGTCAGAAAGGTAGAACGACGTTTATGTCGATATTTGTGTCAATAAGTGGAGAGCGGCCAACGAATTCTTCCCCTTCCCTAGCGTCCGGGAAAATTGTCAGGCCTGGTCCCTCTCAGTCGAACCCGCATGGCTCGTCTTTGAGGGAAGAGGAGAAAAGATGAATCGCGCGAGAAGTCTCTGGAAACGAACGGACTCGCGCTTCGAGACGGTCCGAGATCGGTGAGCGGCGAGTCTGCGACACCGGCAGGGGGGGGGGGGGTGGAAGATCGGTGGTGCCTCGTGACGAGTGTCACGTTTTTCTCGCGGCGAGTTCCGCGTCTCGGGGGAGGAAACAACTCTCCCTCCGAGGGAAATGGGCGTTGTTTCGTCCTCTCGTTATCTCCTAGTGATTTTCCCAAGCGAGCGAGATCGCCCGGGCTCGCTCTCCTCGTTTCCACACCGGGCAACTAGCGTTTCCTCTTACGATCACGGCCCGCCCGAGCCGTTCGCGATATACGCGACAACAGGAGTTCCTTCGCGGATCGCTGTCGTTTTCATCGGAGATTCGGGGAATGAACGTCAGGCGATTTTACGCCGGGCGGTTTAGACCGAGTCTCTCTCTCTCTCTCCCTCCCTCCTCTGTTTTCATCCTTCCTGTTTTTCACACGTGGATAGACGAGGAGATGCGGTTGCACTGTAATTGGGTACTAACGAGCACATCTGTAGGAATATCTTGCGGGATTTCCTGCGTGACTAATGCGACGAAGAAATAAATCGCTTGGAGGTAGATCGTCGGGGACAAAGGCGAGGTTCTTTTCGGCCGTAGTTCCTTGCACTCCCTTTCTTCGTCTTTCGGTGTTCAAAATATAAAATAGACGCGTGCTTCTCTCACGGAATATCTGACTAGGGGAGGAGTAGGAGGAAACGAGAGTGACTGTACGGAAATGCAGGAAAATATGAGAGAAAAATAGAAAGATTAAGTCCGATTAATTCAATCCTTCCTTGTCTATAATTTTTTTTTTTTTTTTTTTTTCATTTATCTTTATTTCTGTTTACAGAGAGGAAATGGGTCTGATTGTATCATAATAAAATTGAAATGTTGGTAGATTCAATCATAAAGATATATTGTTGGAATCTATCAAATATTCTAGTTGAAGTAATCAGAAATTCAGTTATGATAACTAGAATTCTGACTAGTATGATCGGAATGCGTTTCGTTTGTACTTCTTGTTGGTACAATCGTTAGAAACAGAGTCTGGTTGCGTTAATTGGAACTTTGATTGAAAATAGGCAAACAGAACGTTCTGTCCATTTTCAACAGGAAATTTTTTTCCAGCGTGCAATATACTTATATTTTCTTTCCATGACATACCGAAAAAGAGCTTGATTGTATTAATTAGAATTAATCGATTGAAAATAAATCAGAGATTTTCTGGTTGGTTCTATTGTAATTTTAATTGAAAATAACTAAAATAAACAGGATTCTGCTTGATCAGAATTTCTAATTCGATTTTTCCAATTTTAATCAGAAATTTTTTTCCCAGTGCAGAAGAAATCAAATAAACTCGAGCTGAAATTACCGTTTTATAATCTACCAGTTGTTAAGCTCAATTGAAAAATTTGTCCATTAGAATTCTGTCGGGAGCATAAAAACGATCGCTGCATCCGTTCGATGCATCAACTTGAAGTTATAGGGTCTTTTAAATCTGAGCGTTGACACGAATCTCGTCAATTTAAACCCGTAACGCGGTGACGGGAGAAAAGAATAGGGATTAATCATTTTAATATCGAAGAGAATGGGGGAGAGAGTCGAATGCGAGGGAAGCAACGCACTAGAGAGAGAGAGAGAGAGGTTGTATCCTGTATTCTCATCGCGAATCGCGGATCATGTAAAACTGGAGCTTAGGAGTGAAATCGAAAATCGCTCTTCGACGCGCAGAGCTTTGGAGTTTTTAAGCTGGACAGCTTTGATCCACTCTCTCTACGTTGTATTTTTTTTTTTTTATAGAAGACAATTTTAGTGATTGATCCATGGCCTTTTCAACAAAGATCACGAAGAACCGCATGGCGTGTTCTAATCTGTAGTCGACTCACGTGAGTCATCGGCGTCGCGCAGGAAGTGGCTTCTGGGAAGAAAGAATGTCGACATAATGCTGATCGGGTATTCTTACTTATTGTATGTGAGAGATTCTGTTTAGACCGCACGCGAAAAAAGAGAAGGAATATTTTTTGTTTATAATCTTTCTGCAACAAATGACGTGGACTAAAGACGATTATTTCTGAACAAACTGCGAGCAATCGAATGTCGTTTATGTAATATATATTTTCTTTTTGTGTGGAAAAAAAAATCAAATAAAGGTGGCTCCAGACGACAATGTAGACCAACTTTGCGTACATTCGCTAAATATTGACCTACATTTATATGGATAATTAAACGTATTATGTGTGTAATATTTGTTAATATTGTCATACATTAGCTATATTATCTGGAACCGCCTTTAGTTACTTCCTGATGCTCGTTTCTATCACATTGAAAAAAATGTTTCGTTGAAATTGGACAAACCAGAAAATTTTGATTATATCAATCAGAATTCCATTTATCTCAACTAAAATTTTAATAGAAAATTTAACCAGAAAATTCTAGTTGATTCAATCAGAATTTTCTGGTTTTCTGTCCAATTCATTTTCAACCAAACATTTTTCTCAATACAATGTAATTTAATTTTAATCTCGGTTTAATTAACTCTTCACCTTTTCTAATTCTAAGAATTATAAAAAGATGAAGAGTTAGTTGATCCGAGATTAAAGTTGACCCTGTACAAGGTCAGATCACTAGTGATCGAGCAAGTAATTCCTGTTTGTGCAAGTTTCTTTGAGTCTTTCGATAATTATAAATTATACTACATTTTATTATTTCCCAAAATGAAGTTCCAATATTTATTTTAGAAAGTTGAAAGTGTATTGGTAAGAAAGTATTGGTTCATGTTTGGACGAATATGGCACCAAATTGCACTTTATATTATAAGAGTTTGTAATCTATACTGAAATAAGCATGAAAAAATTTTTGATTGAAAATAAATAAACCAGAAGATTTTGATCATAGAATTCTGGTTATTTTAGAAATTATAGAATTATAAATAATAGATTCATTCAGAAAATTTCGATTTGTCCATTTACAATTAGAATTCCAATTAAAATACCACACTCTTTTTTCAATGTATGGTATCACCTGACAATTGTTAAGCTTTCTCATTTGGAACATTCATTTATTGGAATTTTTGTCGGGATTATAAAAGTAACTTTTTTTTTATATAAATTCGGATTTCTTGTCGATTTCACGGACCGAAGGGGGATATCTCAAAATTTGCACGTCACTACCGATATTTTTCCCGTTAACGGGTATGTAAAAATTTACGATGGGAAAACGCGATTTCAATTCGAACGCGGTCGTATAAACTTCGAATTAATACAACGTCATAACGCCTCGTGAGATTTGCTTTGCAATTCGTGAGTACGTTTCGTCGATTTTACTCTTGTTCGTATTTGCGCGCGAGCATTGCATTATTTGCTACTTGAACCGTAAATAACATTAGATAGCACGTTAAACGTTGCGGCGTGGTGTTAATACATGTTGTATTAAACGCAACCGATGCACTTAAGAAGTTACCGTCGTAGTGCATAATAACATAAGGATAAGTCATTTTGAACGTTTCGAAATATTGTCGTGGACCCTCCCCCCCTCTCACCCCACCACCGAAGATAAAACAAAAGCTTTTACGGCGCAAAATTGCAAGGAAGTGCAATAATAATTTTCGCGCGGCGGCTGATATTCTAATCGACACGTGTGTATCAAAGTGACGCTAGAGAAAGACCAGACATATAGTTAGCGCCTACGATATCATCTCGTATCGTATAAAAACGATAAAACATTTTATTTAAGCGATAACTCACCAACACGAACCGGTCATCCTTGAAAAATGAAACAAGAAATCTTACTTCACGTTGTTTGATCGAACGGTTATGAACGATTATAAAGATTGATGCTGTATTTACGCGGTTTTATTCTTGTAATAGAGTTTTCTTATATATATTTATATCGCCGGTTTTTCCAAGATGTATTGACAGGAATATTACACACTTCTTTGTTATACAAATGAATATAGATTTCGGCGGTTTATAATACAGTAATATAATTTCTATTAATTTCATGTTTCTAGAAACATCTTGTCAACAAAAATAGATAAGTAACAAGTAGAATAATAATAGTAATGATCGATATGCCTTGTCACCGTGTCCAACAATTTTGTATACGGAAAGATTTTGTCGAAATTATCTAAACATTTAGGTAAATACAGATATGAAAACAATTTTGTTCAACCGTTAAAATAATTACGTAGGACGCTCGAATTGGTTAGAATCAAAACTTCTTGCAGCATCGCTCATGTTTGCGTTTTCCATCTTAATTGTTAGTGTAATTATTTTGATAACCAACATTATTAATATCAAAGGAGCAGTGGTAACCCAATCTCTTAAGTTAAGTAACACTTGTTATTCTTAACTTTCATGTGTGTCGAAATGTAAATCAATCCATTTCTGTGATTACTTCAAAGTAAAGAACGTCTATATTAATGAATATTCTTAATAAATAATGAATTTAATAAAAAATAAATTTTAGTTCAATGTATCGTC